AAGATAAGGAGGGGGACCGAGGGGCTGCCTAAATAGCCGCCCTCCGCCGCCCCGCCAAAGCCCGCCAAACTCGAGGGCGCCCTCGCGGGCGGCACCTCGGAATACCGTACTTTGACTGACCCACGGTACTAGGGGTGGCCAGAAATCCCAAGGGACGGGGTTGAGTAAACCCCAGGTTCAAACTGCACCATTTGAATCGCCGGTATAGCCCACCCAACGTCGCCCTTGGCAGAAACCCATTAACAGGATAGTTAACTTCATAAACATATAGGCGTGTGCATGCACATGTTACTATCAGCAAGGCTGACTTCAGCAGATAGTGCCCCGCAAAGCACCTAGACCATACCTCATACGACTTGTGCATCCTGCGCTTGTGTTGCAAGGACGGTTGAGCTTATTTCAAAATATGCTGCCACCAAAATTTTGGTGGCAATAACATGAGCTAGTAAGCAAACTTCGGCTGCGTTGCTTTTACTTCTTAAATTTGGAATTTCTAGATTTTAAGGCTTATGATTCTGTAGAAGGAAACATGTTAAGTAGTGGCCCAAACCGCTTCACAAGAAGTGTAAAGCTCTCACTCATCGCTGTCTCAACGGCGACACGCTACCTCAAAAGACAGCTCCTTTACGAAGCTCACGCGTACATATTTGTTAGTACAACGCCAAATTGGAACTTCGGACTTTAAAGTAGTGTTTGAGCTTGGAGTGTTACATTCCTTCCCGGTGGGGGTACACAACACAGTAGTTTTGCCGCTTCTCACAGCCACTCGCCTGCATCTTTGTGTCCCTAGGATTCTCATCGTTTACAAACCGCCATATGACCGTTCAATCATATGCCAACTCATGACTCAAGTACTGCCGACATTCAAATTGTGCCATCTACAAATGTCTTTTCATTCAGAAACCCTCCACTAGCACAAAGAGCAGAAGGGGAAGGGGAAAAGAGAAAGACAGAAGTCCTATCTTACAAGTCTAATACGCCATTCAAACACTGCGTTGCTGCCTATTCAGATCGTTCAGTATGTCAATAGTACGAAACACATGAACTTTGTGTATTTATTTGAAAGATATATAACCACTTTCAAACCAAAAGGAAGAAAGGGAATCATTAAGGCACTGCAAAAATGTGGGAAACACACATCCGCAACTTTCTCAAAAGAACTCTTGTGGACATGACCTTGGCAAAGCCATTTCTTCCTGAGTTGCACTGCACTCTCTCCAAAGAAATTCTCCGAAAACGATTTCTAAGTTGTTTGCGGTGACGTGCGTTCAACGCACTTTACCGCAGCGAAAATGAGTTAGATTGAAAGGCAGCAATTTCACCAAAATATGGCAAACGATTCCAAAATTCTATCAAATTTATAGTTCACAAATTTTCAGGGATTTTATCACAAATAATATTTGTAGCTATGGTTTGCCTGGGCCATCCCATGTAGTTGATCATGCTTTTTAAATGCAAACGGATCGGTACTAATGAGACAGAAGCGGTGTGCCCAGCGAAGCAGTGTTCATTATATGGTTGTGAGAGAAGATCACGATCCAACACTATTCAATGCCGTTCAGTACAAAAATAGTTTGGTGCCAGCTTCAAGATTGTTGTACACCAAATGCAGAGTTGTTTGGATCGATATCCGCTTGGTACTAAGCTCAACACTGTTAGGTGCAGGATTCAGTTTTTTAGTCCCGGATTCGGTCAAATTTGTTCCACATTTGGCAAGATGATTCGGACTCACAAACAGCGGGACGTGAGTGTCATCTTGATGCATGCTTAATGGCCCATTTGGCCATTTGCTGGACCACACACCCCGGCAAAATAAGGCCCGCTCTGGCTCCCAACACCGCACTCTCGCCCGCTGACACACTCACCGCACGACACCCTCAACGCTACCGTGCGATGCCCCGCAAGCCGGGGGCGCAGTAGCCATGTTGACGGCGCTGCAGTCAGGCCACCGCTGGCCACTGGTCGTCGGCAGCGGTCGAAGGGAGTGGGCTGGGCGCAGCGGTGTTCCCATCAGCGGGCGGGCAACAGATATTCCCGCTCCTCTGACAGGCAGGTCGCGGCGAAACAGTGGGCGGTTGAAAGTGGATCTGGTCATGAGCAGGAATATCAGGTTCTTGGACGAAATACACGGGGTCGCTTGAGATACATGGCAGGTCGAGAGTGTTTCAATGTCCGGCGATCACGAAGGCCGCCTTTGCGTTTGGAACTGCGCGACCTGGAGTTCGATGCTGTTGCAGGAAGAGGGCGGAAGGCCAAGACCAGACTGAGAGCGTCCGCCGTGGGAGTTGAAGAGGCACCTGCTGAGGGTTCAATGGCTGTGGGCGATGATGTGATGAGAACATTTCTGTCGCTCCAGCAGGGGAGCGACGTTAGGGGCGTCGCAATGGACGGTGTGGGGCAAGTTGTTGTCGCGATGCTGCTTGGGCCGCGCTGGCAGGCGCTGCTTTTGCTGCCATCGGAACATCCCGCCAGTTGCTGCTACCATTGGAATTGGAAGTGCCAATGCACTACGGACGTCTGTTCAGGCCCAGCGACTGGTGTCCATTGGTTTTGTGCCTGCACTTTGCCCCTTTTTGCCAGAAACTGCAGGTTGGGTTTGGGTTCCTTCAGCAGCGCTTGCTCCTGTGCTGTTGCCTTTGCGCTAGCAATTCCTTTGCTCTTGATCGGCTCACTTCCACCAAAGAGATACACGCCTAGCGCCTAGAACATCAATTTGTGGCACACTCACAACAGTCGCCAGTAATGTACAAGACCACCAGAAAAACTGGCTACAATCTTTAAGCCACCAAATCTGGGAAGTGCTCTTTGCCACATGTGTTTTAGAAGCCCCAGAATTGAACTGTTGCCTAAAACACGTTGCAGGCATTCCTGGAGAACAAGTAACACTGACGCCAGGCATCGTTTTCTTCATCGGCGCCGCGTTTGCCGATTGGCTGGCAACTAAGCTATCCGTTGAAGCAGCATCCTTGAGGGTGGCTGTGGGGCGCGACCCTCGGCTCACGGGGCCCTTGCTGCGATCTTCCCTGGCTGCGGGGATGTGTTCAGATGGTGTCAGCATGGCAGACTTTGGCCTTGCATCCACACCTGCAATGTTCATGAGCACAATAGCCACCGGCTATCAATACCATGGGGCCATCATAATCACAGCATCCCATTTGCCCTTCAACCGAAATGGGCTCAAATTCTTCACTGCGGAGGGGGGTTTGGACAAACCACAAATCAAGGAGATTCTGGAGCTTGCAGCTCAAAAGTGTGCCTTGGCAGCTGTGAATCCCTGTGAGTATACAATTGGTGTTCTTCCCAAGTGCTGATGCTTGGTGCAAACAACAGCTGTCATAGGGCATATAGACTTCGCAGTTTCCTGATCATGCAATGCCACACAACTCCTGCTGCCAATTCCATGGCGAAATGCAAACACATCTTATGCTCTGCTCTTGATCAGATGCACAGTGTACCTTGGGAAGTCAGTGTCTTGTTATAATGCACAGCAACACTGGTTGCTGTGTTTTGGCGTGTGCTTGCCTGGCCTCGACAGCTGCTCATGCGAGGGATTGTTGTTGGAGTTGTGGAACAATCTGTCTATTTTTGCAGAGGAAGCGCACAGTTTTGAAAGATAGATAACCTCAGGAAGTTGGAAAGCTACTAATGTCCACCTGCCTCCTGCGTGCCACAAGCCTTTCTGCCGATTTTGTGGATGAGGTGACAGGGAGGCAACCTCACAGTGCACAGTCTCCTTTGGCATACAGATGCACTGTGAGCATTTGTAAAGGAGGTTTGTCCATCTACATCACAGTTGTTGTTGCATGCACACTTCCTGCTGTGCGCCTCAGGAAAAGCCGATGGCTGATGCCTGTCCATGTTGTGCTTTCTCTCCTGCAGGTCTTCTCTTCAGGTTATTGCCTGTGCCATGTTTCTGATGCTACAATGCTCAGCAAAGCACTGAAAGACACATCTTTAGCTGTGTTGTTAGGTTTCAAAATGTTTGCACAAACAGGCACAAGGTGGCAAGGCTAACAGCATCCAGATCAATGATGATGTCCAGATCGTTCATTTTTGACTCTTGAAGCGTGATCCTGCATGCAAATATGCATGTGCATGAGACACTATCACGCTCACTGCCTCACACTTTGTTTCCTTGAATGGTGCTGATTTGAATGTTTGTGCCCATTCTGCAGCGAACCAAATCAGCAGCACTGCCCATGTTGTTGAAGCAGCGCTGGCCCTTGACCCCTCCCTTGTCCAGGAGTTGGATTTCATGCCGATCTACTCAGCCCACCTCAGGACAATAATCAAGGAGACTGTCAACCGCGATGACAATTTCGACAAGCCATTGGAGGGTTTCACAATTGTTGTGGATGCCGGCAATGGTGCAGGGGGATTCTTTGCGACTGATGTGTTGGCTAAATTGGGGGCCGACATTTCAGGGAGCCAGTTTCTGGACCCTGATGGCACATTTCCAAACCATATGCCCAACCCAGAAGACAAGGAAGCTTCTGAGGCAGTGTCGAGGGCAGTTGTTGCTGCAGGTAAAGTCCAAGGTGCACAGCAGTTACTGCATCTGAAAGACTACAAGTGCTGTTATGTTGAAAGAGGCATGTTGTCAGAATCTTGATAACTTGGCTGGTTGATTGGATGCAGGTGCCTCCCCTGCACTTCACTGGTTGTTGTGTGCCATGAAGGCTGTTGTGTGCTGAAGTTCATGGCCCACACATCTCATCATTCCCACCCAGCAACAACCGTTCACCACAGTTCGGCACTTCCATTGCCTGTCGATGCGTGTCATTGTTGGTAGTTGAAACTTTGCTAATTGCTGTGCCTGGCCTGAATGGTGCAGGAGCTGACCTGGGTATCATATTTGACACCGATGTGGATCGCAGCGGTGTTGTGGATGAATCTGGTTTCGCCATCAATTCGAATCGCATGATTGCCTTGATGTCTGCCATCACGCTCAGAGAGCACCCAGGTTCCACGATTGTGACCGATTCTGTGACCAGCAATGGCCTTGCAGCGTTCATCGAGTCGCTTGGCGGAAAGCATTTCAGGTATTGAAACAATTACGTCCAGGAGTTTTGTCAAGTGACTGTCCCTTGGCATCTGATCTGAAACTTGCGTTTGTGCGATTTGGGGCCTCCTGAGCCGGGAACCGTTGGATGCTAAGGAGTGGTAGCCTTCCTGTGCCTGTGTTTCGAATTGCTGCTGCCACCTGCCGCTGGAAGGCTGCCTGTGGGAGCGGCAACGACAGCACACTCCACATCCTGCCAGCTTCCGACAATATACTTCGTGCAAGCCAGTTTTGGCCTTTTCTGAAGGTTTTATGAGCAGTTTCTTACAACACAAATGAGGATTCATACACTGCCCTTGGCCACCTCGTGGGCACCAGGGAATGATTTGCCAATGTGAAGAAAATCGTGATTATCAATGGCTCAGAACGTGGCTTCATTGTAGGTACCGCCGAGGGTACAAGAATGTTATTGGCAAGGGCATTGAGCTGAACAACAAAGGCATCGAGACGCACCTCATGATGGAGACGAGCGGACATGGGGCGGTAAAAGAAAATCGATTCTTGGACGACGGCGCGTACATGGCTGTCCAAATCGTGACGGAAATGGTCCGGAGAAAAAGGGATGGAAAGGCTGGAATCCGCAGCATCATACAGGATTTGAAGGAGCCCCTGGAAGCCAAAGAATACCGGATAAAGATCAAGGCAAGGATGGTGCATGTTCACGCCCATGCTGTGGGCAGTAGATAAAGAATATCTTGCGTTGCAGAGTTTTTTGGTATTTTGGCGAAGGAGCACCCCAGCTGATGCATACAGTTGTCACGTTAGTGCCGATGGCTTCTCATGTGCGCTAGCAGTGGTGCTCAGCGAAAGCTGTCACCAAGAATAGTTGAGGGCTCGGCGTGCCCGTGCACAAGATGTTATGTTTTTGGCATGTTGATGAGCCAATCGTGCTCTGTGCGGACGATGGGAGCTAAATAAAAGGTGTCAGGCTCTCACGGTACTCTGGTGTTTGTATACCCGGGTTCCTCATACCTTGAATGAATTTCTACGATTCAGGATCCTGAATTCAAGCCCATTGCTTTGGAAGCTACGCAGCGATTCCATGATTTTGTTGAGGGCGGCTCCCAGCGCAACTGGCAGCTCGAGGCTGAGAATCACGAAGGGTGGCGTGTGGTGGTCGATGAAGGCGATGGCCTAAAAGGGTGGTGCTTGCTGCGGCCCAGTATTCACGACCCTCTGTGCGTGCTGAATGTGGAATCCGAAGTGGAGGGAGGTGAGCCGCAGTCCCCCGCACGTGCCCAATTGCAGCTATGGTTGTGCGTGGCAAGACTTTGAAATGTACGGGCTCAGATGGCGGCGTTTTCCGTGGCTGTTTGCTTGTTTGGAGGACCACCCTTCTGATGGCAAGGAGCCAGCCTAGCCTAGCCTTGCTTGTGTTCGTCTTAATGCTGTGGGTACGCCCACGCAGGAGCGCCCGTTGCCAAGTCGGAGTCGAACCAGCACCGACCAGCGAATGTGCAGACTTCTGAGTTCCTATACCTGTTGGGGTCTGCAGGCTTGAAGGCCACCACCCAGCAACTGGTGGCTTTTTTCACGACTGTCTGCGGCGACCTGCCTCTAGACTTGTCACCACTGGAGGCGGTTCTGAACGCCTAGTGGCGTGCAGATGAGACACTGCGAGGTTGAGACCAATTTCCATGGCGCCTGGCGTCCGGTCACCAGGGCAACAATACATCTTCATTTGTTTGTCTGTATTCTTTCTGGCTTCCTCATGCTTCCAGGGCAGCCGGCGGTGTGATGGACGGTGGCAGTCGTCCTTGCTACGAATGTGACGTCTCAATGGTTTTCTGTAAAATGTACTTTGACAACGTGCGAAACGGTGGTGGCACGTGGGAGCCGCGCGACTGGTAAGCCTGTTCCTTAATCATGACTGCGTTTTAGGTTGAGGTTAGTTTTAGACTGAGTGCCTTGACACTGCCAAGAACGTGTGCAGCAGGCAATGGTTGACGTCCTGTTCAATGCCACGGCCATGCGACGCAGAAGTTCGTGTGGTGTCCATAAGACGCAGAAGTTGTGCCCTGCGAAACGATCTGGCACAAGACACAGGTCAAGGCTGTGCGTGACGAGCAGAGAAAGTGATGGACGGCCGCAGACAGCACGTCATCAGACATGCCATTGCAGTTGGTGAGTCACCTCGATGTGCGTAGCGATCAAGGTGGCTCTGAGGCGACACGCGCCCCACAGATAGGCTGACAAAACCCGAAAGGGAAGGGGGGGGCAGGCGACCGGATAGGAAGACAGCAAAACTAGGGATAGATAGGCGAATAGCGGTCGATCGACAGTGCTAGATGCGTGGGTTAAGGCGGGACAATACCTGAAAGATTGTGGACACCCACTCCCCGAAGGGGACAATCGGGAAACAAAGTACACAAAAATTGCAGTTGGTGGTGGCAACTGGGACTTCTGGACTGGAATCTTAGCAATGTACGCGTTGAGTCAGCATAGTCTGCAATTTTCTTGACAAACAGCTGGGCACACATAAGCAAAGCACGGAGAACAGTATGCAATGCAGAAGCGCAGTAGCAAATCCGTCCATCTGTTAGCAACATCGCTGTCCAATGGAATGCCTCCCCCCCACAGTCACAGTCCAAACAGCTTCGGGGCATGTTCCTCGGCGCATGATTTGCAACAGGGACTGCCTCGCTGGCATCTGCATCGCCATCGTTGCATAGACGCCATATACACGGCATACGATAATTCCTCATCGAAACTAGCGAAAGATAGCGCTAGTGGCCATGTGTAGCTGCACTTCCACCTCAGCCAACCAAAGACAAAGTGCAAAAAAATTGAAGGAATTCGTTCTGTTCAATGTCACTATCAAATGCGTTGATCCGAATGGAGAAAAGGAGGAATTGCTCCGCGGCTGTTCTGGCATTTCCAAGTTGACGCAACAGACGGATCAGCTGCGTTCCCCTTGAGTATTTCCATGACTCTGTTGCACACGCCTCTGTCGATCGTTGTTGCATCCTTGCCGTCAACATTGTCATGACCAATTCTGCTTTCCGCTCCTGGTCATCTTTGGAAGATAGTTTTGCCGGTAGCACATCTGGCACACAAACACACCAGGCCACGATTGATGAACCACAGCACCTGTGCACACCCTTGCATCACCTCGACTGTTCAGCGAAAACAAGAAGTCGCTGCACTGCCCAGGTTCAAAGCGAAGATCACACTCAGTCTGCTCAACCGCTCCTCGTTAACTCTACTATCCTAAAACTAAGCATTATGGGCCTCTAAACCGCACTACGAAACGGCTGGACTGGCATACTTTGGTGCTGACCGTACGCCCATACTAGAATAGTGACAGCTGGCGTATGTTGTACATTACTACTCAGCAAGACATGATTTATGCCAAACAGCATGTTCAATCATAAGATGACGACAAGGTAGTGAAGCAGCTAACAGCCCAGGGAGCAAACGAAGACCCTAAAAGTCCTGGATCTGGAGCTGCAGAGCGGTGCATGTCGCACAGCAACAGTCATCCCCAATAGGGCAGAACAGAGCTGCAACTCCTTCACTCAAAAGGTCAGTGTATTGCAACTGACCAATGGCCACATTGTTGTGAGAAGCTTATTGCACAATCTCCACTGCATGAAAGCAAGAAAGCCCAAATAAGTTGGCTATTGGAAGGGGGGTACAGCGCGTTTCTTCCTTGCTAAATGCACAGTTCGCAGCCATGACCACAAAGCTGCAAGCCATGCAAAAAATTGGAAACAACTAGTGGGGATGCCATGACAACAATTAGAGTAGCTAGCTAGCTGATGTGGCCTGCAATAGCACCAGCCACAAGTGGGGAAGTGTTTCCTTTAGTGAAGATGGATGGGAAATGCTTGCACTCAAACAATACACAATGACAGTGGAATACAACTTGTCTAGGTGCGATCAAGGCGGAGCCAGTCAAATCCACAGTTGATGTTGTTTGTGCACCACTCACAATGGCATCTTTGACAGCCTTCTTTGCCTCTTCAGCACCCAAGATCTCGTCAACCACCACATCTTTCTTCTCATTCTTTTTGTAGTCCTGCAAGGCAGAGTGACGTGAATCGTCAAGGAGGGCACCGTTTGCCACCTGCCCTGCTTACACAGAACATTGACTGTGGTGGGCTTTCCGTAGTGCCTTTGCAGATATCCCAAACACTGTCTTCAACGTGAACAAGGGTCTAAAAGGGTCTAGAGCAAAATTTTCGCTGCAAGCTCGTTGCTCGTGTCTGCTCCCCCTGCAATCTGAGACTATGTGACAGGCAGCCTTTTGACAAGATACACAATTTCTAAAGCGCTGCACAGGAGGCATCCGTTGATTGAAACGCTCCTTCGGCAGGCTAGAGCCATCGGCGCACATCACGGACCCACTGGCGCCCTGTTGCTCGACCCATAAACCCATTGCCACGCCAGGCACAGAACGCCAACCATCCCCACCTCAAAGAACCTCCTGATTTCCGCCATGCGGTGCGGCGCCAGCTCCGAGATGTCCTTGTACCCCGTGTACTCCGGGTCGTCATGGTGCACCGCGATGACCTTGTCGTCCTGCTCCCCCTGATCCAGCATCTTCATCACGCCGATGGGCTGCAGCGTTCCCCATCCCCGTCCACAACATTCAGCCTCGCTGACCACAAAGCCAAAACGCGACATGCCTAGATTGATGGCGCTGGAACGCGCCGTGGGGCGCAGGCCGCTGGCGAAACCCTACCGGGCAAGGCTGCAGCCCACAATCGTCCCTGTTTCCAACCCCACGTTTGATTCCACCCTTTTCTTTGGCACGTTAATTCATTGATCGGTCGCGCTGGGTGGGGCACCCCGGCGCGGGCAAAGCGGGTTCCGCGCCTCGCGGCACGGTGAGCGCCACGTCATGGCCTGCGCGGAATCCGACCTTGACGCGGAGGAAGGCCATTGGTGCTACGATCTCCTGCATCAGGACCAGGACGTCGATGGGGTCGTTGTCCTCGCACAGGGTCTGCGGGGCGAAGCCGTAGTTGTGCGGATACACGACGCTGCGGCACACGGCGACAACACCAGGTCAGGATGGATCCACCAGGGGGTCTAGCGGCCGGCGGCGCGGCCCAGCCCAGCGCGCGCGGCGATCGGCTGCTCATCGCAAAGAACGGTGGCCAACAGCAGTCCGAGAGATCCACGCGAGGCGATGCGTTTGTCTCTCGAGTCGTGACAATCTGAGCACTTTGCGCACTGAAGGCCATGGGACCAACAATGCTGTTTAAGGCAATGGAGACAGGCTACCCGGAAACAGAAGTAGGCACTCCGCAAAATCCGGATGGCTGGGTCACCAGCGGCGGAGGGCCGGGGAAGCCTTCGGTCCCTGCCCGTGCGGGCGGGGACGGGGCGTGTCACCTGGAGTGCAGCACCCTGTCCACGTACAGCATCCCGGTGGACTTGTCCAGCTCGTACTTGACCTTCGATCCGCGGGGGATCTCCACGACGGCGTTGAACAGATCCGGGGCCTCGTCGCCGATCGGCAGGTCGTGCCAGGGGTGGGACGCCTGCGTGCGCTGGAGGGCCATGTCGTATCAGACTGCGGTGGATGAGAAGTTGGCCCTGTTTCCTGCTTTTGGCGGGCGCGGGGGCCGGCTGGCGTGGATAGGGGGGATGGCACGGGGTGCAGGAGTGAGGGCTGGTGGTTGCGGCAAGGCAAACACTGGTGTGGTGGGGCGCGATGGGCTGGCCGTCTTGTGGGCCCCGTTCGGTCCCACTTGGCAGCGGATACTATGCGCCCCCTCACCAAAACAGGCGGGAACGGCATTCCGGAATCATGGGCAGCCCAATGAACGCATCCATGGGCGGGGGGCATAAAATTACTGGCTGCACCAAATCGGTGACTTCTTGCACCAAGTCACGTGCACATCATGTCCAACTCCGTCCAAACTAACCTAACCTAAAACCTAAACCCTAAAACTTAAACCTAAACCTGTCCTAACCCTAACCCTAACCCTAACCCTAAAACTCACCCTGAAACAAAACCTAACCCTAAAATTGAGGTTAGGACAAAGTGTGCACGTGACTTGGTGCAAGCAGTCACCGATTTGGTGCAGGCAGTAATATTATTTCTGGGCGGGGTGTAGGCTCTTGCTGGTGTTTTTGGTGCACTCACTGTGGAGGTGAACGGGATTTCAGCAAGTACTGCGGGGTTTTGCCAGCTGCTGAGATGGTGTCGGTGGGATAAAGAATCATCCCCCGCCGTTATTATCTTCGTCATCAAGAAATTTACACACCAAGGCGTGGAGGTGGCCGTCCGCACACTGCTTCGCCTAAGCAAGATGGTGGCCATGATTGTCCCATGAGAACCCAAGATATTGCCGCAATCCAGTCACTGAGCTGTTATGCATCGGAACGCACAGATTCACAAAATTCGGTGTGAACAAACCCCCTTCATCCACTGTTTGCAATGTCTAACATAACAACTCCCAACGTGGCATCAAGCCCAAGGTAGTCAATGCTTTTCCCCATCGTCCCGTCATCCCCAGGCAGGTGCATTTCAGCAAGCATTACAGGTCTAAGGTGAGGAGGTTTACCTGACTATTTATATTTATTTTTTCTTTTCATTTATTCATCTTTTACCGCTGATTTCTTTCTCTCCTTTGCATCTACTGGAAGTATTACTTTTCTTGCTATCTGTGCAACATTTGCTTGTTCTTGGGCTTGCAGACAGCCATTGTGGCAACTGTAATCCACCATAAGTGTATCCGTTATGATTTATGGATATGCAAGATTCCTTGCGGACCTGTGTAATCCAAAGGAATGAGGGGGGTCACCGTCATAATTTCGTACATAAACGCCACAGTGCTGGCCCGCGTGGACATTGCCCGCCACCACCCTGCCACGGGTGGCGGGACGTCCCACCCTCCTCGCCCACGACAGGCACGGAGCGTCCAAAGCCATCCGACGGCAGATAATACCGTCACGTCGCGCTCATGGCCGGGACCGGCGCCAAAGATCTGTGGTGCGTGGCGCTGAATCCCTAGCCAGTCCTTGAGCCTGTATCCGCGCGCTGCGTATTTGAATTT